CCCGCTCCATGGGGTTCGTACCGAGTAGACCGTTCCAAGTTCCAGTCGGGGTACAGTAAAGCCTGACCATCAGGCCTTTGAAAAATCCAGTTGGTTTTTTTTTTTCCCCCAGAGTTATATTCTGTGACTTTTATAACTTAAGGAATCAAAACTATGAATTTCCTCTTTGGTAAACTCTAGATTTCACTTGCGGAAATTTAAATGGGTGTTTCTCTTGTCAACACTTCCTTGGGTAGTGAAAGACTCTCCCAAATCCTGGTGTGTGTGTGTGTGGGGGGGGGGTTTCCTTTAAAAGAAGGTACAAAAAGCACCTTCCTTTAGCATTTGCTAAAGAAATTGTTGGCATTTGTAAGTCTACAACTGTACCTCATGGTGTTTAATAAAAATAAAAAGGTAAAAGGTAAAGGCCCTCCCGTTGATCGTCGATTTGCTCGAGCGGGCCCAGTAACGTCTCCATTGGAGACTTTGTTGTTACTGTGTCTGGCATATCGAATACTCTCGGTAGCTTGCTGGGCTTAAAAAAAAAATTGTTGGCACCTTTTGGTGTATAATACCTAATTATAGGTACAACCCTGTTCCCTCTTTTGGGGAAGTAATTCTCAGTTCTTGCTTTTTTTTTTAATTTTTATTTTATAAAACGCTAAGTGATTTCTTGTTTGTCATCCAGGATTTAAGCTTTATCCCTCGTGTGATTTCCTATGGAACAAGTGCTGTGACTGAGGGGCCGTGGGGGAGATTGTCCTCCAGACGATCACCATCCTGTAGCCCCCCACAAGACCTCAGCTTGTGTTGGTCGAAGCCGCGCTGCCTTCTCTTCAGAGCTGACGCGGAAACCTGTTCCAGCTGCCTGGTGGTTTTATCTTTTTAATTTGGGGGCCATACCCGGCAGTACTCAGGGCTGACTCTTGGCTCCGTGCTCAGGGATGGCTCCTGGTGGGTGTGTTCTCCCAGGCTGGGCCTACACCGCGCCAGACGGGGCACAGACATTCCTCGCGAATGGGACCGCTCTTCTCGTTCTGCCAGTGGGCCCCTCTCTTCTCCCCCGCCCTGGTGCCTTGCTCGCAGTGGGGGCGTTCAGGGGTGTGGACCCCCGCCCGATCCCGCTCTTGCCGCTCTCCCCTGGCCCCGTGCATGACGGTGAGCGGGCTTTGGGGTCATCTGATACGGTGGACAACCCTCGCTCTGTGGGACCCTCCCCAGGTCTCGTTCTCTTGGGCCGGTCTCTCGTTGGCGGTTGGGGGGGGCATGCCTGGCGGCGGTGCGTGTTGCCGTGCCTCAACCGGTCCTTGGTGGTGCCCCTGGAGCGCTCCAGGTCGTCCTGTCAGGTGCCTGAGGCACCCTCTGGGGTGCTGGGGCTCGAATCCTGGTCCGCTGCATGCAAGGCAAGCACCCAACCCACTGAACTATCTCTGGCGCTATGGCCCAACTTTTATTTTTTTGCTTTTTGGGTTACACCTGACAATGCACAGGGGTTGCTCCTGCCTTTGCACTCAAGAATTACTCCTGGTGGTGCTCGGGGACCCTATGGGAGGCTGGGAATCGAACCTGGGTCAGCTGCGTGCAAGGCAAACACCCTTCCCGCTGTGCTATTGCTCTGGCCCCTGTGGCCCAACTTTTAGAGGCCTGATGTAGTGGTGACGCTTCTGAGAGGCTTTTCTGCTTTCATCTGTTTTCCTGCCCTCTGGTTGCGTGGTGCTCTGTGGGGGTGGCCCCTGGAGTGGTGGTACTCATAGCCTGGGTGTGGGGCCCGCTTGCCCAGTCACACCCTCTGCCGGGGCTGATCACGCTCGTGATCGCCGGAGCTGGGGCCCATCCGCTTCATCGTGGCTCACACATGCTGGCGCCCATGCCATGGTCGTCGCACTCTCCACGTGCCATGCTGCCAGGGACCCAACTGGCAGCCTCCTGCCTGCCGCCTGTGGCTGTGCTGGACCCAGATGCCCCATGCTCGGGCTCTGGAATGGGCACTTAGCGCAGCGCTTGAGGAAATGCACCAGTGCCTTGAATTGGCACCAGTGTGCGTTGCGTTTGGAGTCTCCAAAGATGCTCATCACTCAGCAGCTCCCTAGGACAGCAGCGCGGCCTTGTAGCTTGTTTTGAGACCACAGAATCTTAAAAAATCCTGCTCTTTGTCCGGGGCCATTGTTGTGCTCCAGCCCGAGTGCAGGGGTCGACACCAAACTCTCCCCTCCAGCGTCCCTGGCCTTGGCCCGTGCACGGGTGTCTATTGTGAGCAGATGGAGCTGGGAAGTGGATGAGCCTTGCTGGCCTCAGTGCCCAGCAGATGCCTGGACTGGCTGGTGACCTGAGCCAGCATTCTCCCGCGTCTCCTGCCGGCCGCTGGCCTTCCGAGCGGGTTCCCCTTGCAGGGAGAGTTCAGGAACCGCCAAAGCTCCGGGAAGCGGCGTCTCGGATCTGATCGGCAATGGCTCTCTCTCTCTCTTAAAAGCTCTGAGAAGTCTGGGGAGGAATCCTACTGAGTGGATTCAGGGGCCACACGTGGGAGAGAGACACCTGTGGGCTCTGTGCTCGGGGGTCACTCTGGAACCACATGGTGCCGGGTCAGAAGCCAGGCCTCTTGCATGCACAGCCTGTGCCCAGCCTGCCGAGTTGTCGCTGCAGCCTGCTTCCTGGTTTTCTTTAAATCCATTTCCCAGTGCCATGTGATCATGGAATCTGCTTTTCTCAACTCGGAAGCTTGAACCCATCCCGTTTAAGGCGGGCACGATGTCACTTTGATACACGATGTACCGTGGCATCCTGACCACCTGCAGGTGGACAGGCTGTCTCTGTGCCCAGGACCGGCTCAGCTGTGGGTCAGGCAGGCCAAAAGCAAGACCGTGGAGCCGGAGAGAAAGCCGGGCAGGCAGGGCACCTGCCTCGCGTGCCGCCAGCCTGGGTTCAATCTCCAGCACGCCATATGGTCCCCCCCGCACTGCCAGGAGTAAGCCCTGAGCACAGCCGGGCATGCTTCCTCCCCGCCTCCTGAAAAAAACACCGTGCCTTAGGGGCTTCACAGTGGACACTGCAGGCTGCGGCAGCATCTTCCTGCTCTTCACGTGCACCCCCACCCCCCGCCCCCAGCGCCAACGAGGGGTTGTTTCCCTGATGCCCTTCCGGCCAGGATGGGACCACCACATGAGTAAGTGGCTCTGTACCCGGTGACCCATGGAGGCCAGTGACAGCACCCACGTCGTCCTGCGGCGGGTACTAGTGGTTTCCTGCAGGCGCTGCCCCCCGCCCCATCCTGGGCAACTCTCTTTCTTTCTCTGAGTGTTTTGATGACTAACATGTGAAGTGACTCGATGATCTATCCAGGCGAGGCAGCTATGCAGGGGATGAGTGAACTGGGCCCCTGAGGTGGTCCAAAACGCTGGGTGTGGGAGGACGGTGGCAGGTGCCGGGAGGTCTTCAAAGGTTAGAAAGCTGAGAAAGTGAAGTGGGATGTCGGGACTGAGGATGTGGCTCAAGTGGCATAGCACACGCATCGCATGTTCACGGCCCCGGCTGTGATCCCTGGCACTAAATGCCCCATCGCCACCCCCCAGCTCGGGCGGATCCCAAAGCAGAAAAAAAAAAAAAGAAACCCAAAAAACCCCAGATAAATAAAGGGATCCTGAAGGGTGATGAACACCAAATTGAGGTCACTTTTTTTTTTTTGATTCACTGTGAGATACAGTTACAAAGCTTTCATGTTTGAGTTTCAGTCATACAGTGATCGGACACCCATCCCTCCACCAGTGCACATTCTCCACCACCAATGTCCCCAGTAACCCCCCCTTCCCAACCCCCTCCCCGCCTCTATGGCAGACAATCTCCCTCTTGCTCTCTCTCTACTCTTGGGCATTACGGTTTGCAATGTAGATACTGAGAGGCCATCACGTGTGGTCCTTTATCTACTTTCAGCACACATGTCCCATCCCGAACGATCCCTCCAGCCATGATTGACTCAGTGATCCCTTCTCTGTTCCAGCTGCCTTCTCCCCCAGCTCATGAGGCAGGCTTCCAACTATGGGGCAATATTCCTGGTCCTTGTGTCCGCTGTATTGAGGTCACTGTTGGGGATATCTTGGACCGTGAGCCTTGAACCATGCGAGTCTGGGGAAAAGTTAACTTGGACCATTTTGGGTAGCCCACTCGTGGCTTTGATAGAGGAGCAGATTTTTGGAGCCCGCGATCCCACCATCCTGTAAGTGAGCCCCCCGGAGCACTCACTCCTGCCTTCCTGCCTGCGAGGCTGGCAACATGGGGTGCACGCGCACCTTGCCTCCGCTCTGTCTCCCTCAGTTTACCCAGCGGCACGCACAGCCTGGGCCGAGCATCCATCTCTTCCCCAAGTTAGGCTTGGGAGACAAAACACTAGCAGGCGCTTCCTCTGGGTGCTGTGGGAGTTGAAACCCGGCCCAGACAAAACATTCGTTTCCCCGACTGTCAGAACTCCGATCCTGGTTCCCAAGCTGGAGTTTATTTTGTATTGAAGTGGTGTGTGTGTGTGTGTGTGTGTGTGTGTTTTAACCTATACACTCAAATCTGACGTTCCCATCTAAAGTGAGATCTTGAATATTTCCTCGAACCGGGAGTTTTGTGTCACGGATATTTCCTTAGAGCCTTTTCTTACCGAGACCTCCCCTTGCCAACTCTCCAGGGTAGAAATGTTAGTTTCTGTTGGGAGAAAAACGGCAGTGCTCTTCTGAAACACGTATATTTCCGCCTCTTATGTATTTGTGTTTTTCTTTCATCTGTTACATAATGCTCTCACCGGGCAGTCTCAGATGCGGCATGCGCAGGGAGTGCCACGGTTTTGCAATCTTGAAAGAGAAAACGAGGAAACATTTGCTTGTCGTTTTTTTTTTTTTTTTCCAGCTCGGAGTGCTTCGATAATGAGCCATTTTATCCTGCCATCAACCCGGGGCGAGCCGAAAGGTGTTGATTGATTTCTGGATGACAAGGGGCCTCTCTAATTGCCGGATCTGACATTTGTGGCACTTGTGCTGTTTTAGGTGAGCAAGACGTGGAAGGTGATTGCAGAAGACGAAGTGCTGTGGTACAAGCTGTGTCGGCAGGAGGGGCACCTGCCCACCAGCAGCATCTCCGACTACTCCTGCTGGAAGCTCATCTTCCAGGACTGCCGCGCCAGGGAGCACACGTTAAGAACCAACTGGAAGGTAGGCTGCGGCCAGCGCCGTACCTGGAGGAGAACAGTCTCTCTGGACACAGGGCCCCGAGCCAGGCACACCCCGCCTGCCCGCCCGCCCACCCACTACAGCCTGCGCCTCACTGTGCAAAGCTGCAAAGCGGGGAGCCCAGGAGACGGGGAGCCTGGCTCAGCCGCCGGGATCTGTTTCCCATCTCACTCACCACTAGAATATCTGTTCCCACTTCCTTTTCCTTTCTTTTTTCTTTCTTTGCTTTTTGGATCACACCCGGCGATGCACAGGGGTTACTCCTGGCTCTGCACTCAGTAATTTCTCCTGGTGCTCAGAGATGCTGGGGATCGAACCCGGGTCAGCCGCGTGCAAGACAAACACCCTCCCCACTGTACTATTACTCCAGCCCCTCTTTTTAATTTTTTTTTAAATTCACTTTTGCTTTTTTTCTGGGCAGTGGGGGTGAGGGTGGCACCTGCGGTGGTGGTCATCAGGGCTTAGGGACCCCCTAGGGTGCCAGAGATCCAACCTGGGTTGGGCACGTGCTGAGTATGTGCCCTCCCTGCTGAACTATGGCGGCTCCTTTTAAATCTTCATTGTTTTTTATTTTAATTGTTGTGGGGCGGCCACACCTGGTGTCTGCAGGAGGTGAGGGGGAGCAGGGGTCCATCCCAGAGCCTCAGACACACCCTGTGCGTGCCCTCCCACTGGTACCGTTTCCTGGGTCCCGCCCTCCCCGCCTCTCCTTCATCCTGTTGTTCTGGGGTGGGGAGAGCAGGTTAGGACTGGGGGTGCCTGTTGCTTCCCTGCTGCAGAGTTCAGTCCCTGCCCCTTCACTTCATTAACTCCCAGGGTGACCCCAGAGCAGAAGCACCACCGGGCCGGCCGCATGCAGGAGGAGCCGCACCCTCTCATTCTGTCCCGGCAGAGGCCCTTGAGGGTCTTTGAGTCTGTCTCCGCTTCCCCCTTTTGACCTCCTGGCTCCCGTTCACCCCATCTATCACTTCCCGGTGGCCACTGAAATATTAAGAATATTAGGGTGCAGCCCCGGTTCGCACAGGGTGGTGTCTCGGTGGGAACGAGCTGTCCAGAGCAGGGGTCATGGTGGGTGCAGGACAGCGAAGCCACCACCCCCTCCAGCACTGTGTGCTGCTACAACCCCCTCACTGACCAGTGCCGCAGACCTGGGTGCCTCGTCCTGTCGCCCCACGGCTCCCAAAGGACAGGGCAGCTCCTCGCTTGGGGTTCCTCAGCTGGACACCGGCAGCTGCTGGGGCTGGGCCACGCTTGGTGGGAGCAGCCACCTCGGCCTCCTCCCATTAGGGGCCAGGATCTGCCTCTGCCCGTCGCTGTGATGGTGCAGGGTCCCCAGACACGGCCAGATGTTCCCGGGCCCACTTGGTCCCAGGTTGAGGCTTGCCTTTGGTGGAGGGGGATGTGCAGCGATGTTCCTGCTCTCCGACCCCTCATCCCCCACCCCGTCTCGGGACTTGGTCGAGAGACTGCACAGCCGGCAGTTCTGGGCCGGGTGGGAGGGAAGCGCTCAGCCTTGAGAGTGGGGCCCTGGGGAGTCGAAGCCTGTGCGGTGTGGCACAGGCTCCCTTGCAGACGTCAGGTGAGGTGCTGGGAAGCCCAAGGCAGCAGTTAAGCAAAGAGAAAAAAACGGGGGGGCTGGAGCGAGGGCACAGCAGGGAGGGCGTTTGCCTTGCATGCGGCCGACTGGGGTTCGATTCCCAGCATCCCATAGGGTCCCCTGGACACCGATCAGGCCCTGACAACCAGGACGGGGCACTGGCCCCACACCCAGCTTTCTGTTGGCTCAAGAAAAAAAAAAACAGCAGCTTGGTGGCACTGAGTTGGACCCTGTCACCCGCATGCTGCTGTGAAGTCAGACGTCTTGGAGCGTCTCTGCACCCTTCACGTCCGCCAGCCCCGGCTCCTTGCCTTTGTATTCTGCCAGGTTTCTCTTCATTTTTAAAAAATCAGGTTGCGTTTGAACCGATGCTGCTTCTCATGGTACCAGTAATTGAAAAGTTACAGACTGGCAGAGAGTGGGAAATCCGTCCCCTCTCCCCTCTCCCCTCCTCTCTCCCCACTTGCCTCTGGCTGCCCCCAGCGGATCCGCTGTGGTCTGGGCTTTAGGGTTTGCTGTAAATACCATTTCTACGAGCCTCTGTTCTTTCTGCTAGAAATAATGTCTTTGGTTCTGTCTTCCCCCCTGACCCCTGCCTCTTGTTTTATGTTTGTTTGTTTAATTACCTTTTTATTTTCTCCAAAGCTAAGAGGTGGTTAGCGCGTAAAATATCACGAACCTCCCCCTGCTCTGAAGTGGCCTCAATTTGGGAGTGTCTCATTCATTCATCCTGTGCCTCTGGCCTGGACCAGGGGCCAGCCCGCGAACCGAACCCGTCCACTTCCCCCTTTGTCCATTTGTCTGGACTGTGGGAGGTGTGGGCCGGAAGCGAAGGCGCAGCCCCGTGGAGAGCGTCAGCGCGTTCCCCTCTCCTCTCGCAGAAACGCCGAGGTGCCGTGAGCGAGCTGGAGCACATCCCTGACGCGGTGCTGTGTGACGTGCACTCCCATGACGGCGTCGTCATCGCCGGGTAAGCCACCGCTCATGCGCCCGTCCCTATCTTCTGGGGAGAACTGCCTGCACCCCTCCACATGTGGCCCCGTTCACTGAACCCAGGAAAGGCCCGGCCTTGGGGGGGGGGGGCGCTGGAGAGTTCTGGAAGGTTCTGTCCCGTTTGTCTCCATGCATCTCCTTGTTGGTAGATCAGTCTCATAGTGGGTTGTGTTAGATGTTCATTAAGGCCAAGGGCCTCTCCTTTATGAAGACATGGAAAAAGTCCAACAGGAACTGTTGGTCCAAGCAGGAAGCTGTTCTTTTGCCCCGTTCTGAAGCCATCGTAAGGGGAAAGGACCATGGCTGTACACATCCTCCCGCTCGTTCATTGCCAGCACGGACCCGCTCCTGACCCTCTCCTGAAGTTGGCTCTGCGTTTCCCTCAGGGCCAAGAAATATAATTTTAGCCTCTTTAGAGTCTCTTTCAAAAACCGCTCTCACGAGTTCCTCGTGTTTTATCACCGGCGGGTTTAGGGTTTGATGGGGACCATGGAGATCAGCTTCCCTTTGGGACTAAGATGCTGCCTTGAGCCACAGTGTCAGACGGGATGCCGAGTGCCATGGGAGAGGTGCTGATGTCTCGCCTGGCTTCAGAGAGTGCAACCAGTGGAGGTTCCTGCCGGGAGGAGGAAGATCTCGTGAGCTCAACATTTCTGAGCCGGCCAGTCCTTTTCTTTAAAGAAAAAAGAGGCACACTGGGGCCGGAGCGCTAGCACAGTGGGAAGGGCGTTTGCCTTGCACACAGCCAACCTGGGTTCAATCCCTGGCGTCCCATATGATCCCTGAGCACCGCCAGAAGTAATTTCTGATTGCAGAGCCAGGAGTAAGCCCTGAGCATTTCGGGGTATGACCCAAAAAGCCAAAAAAAAAAAAAAAACCCGCATTGAAGAAGCATGTCTAATAAAGCATTGTTCGAATAAAATTCCAAGGAGATTTCTCTAACATCTTCTGGCACACAGTTCTTAGGAAAAAGTCTTTTTTTGTTTTTGTTTTGGGGCCACACCCGGCAGTGCTCAAGCTTATTCCAGATTCTGAGCTCAGAAATTACTCCCAGTGGGCTCAGGGGACCATATATGGTGCCGGGAATTGAATCCAGGTCGGCTGTGTACAAGGCAGGCACCCTACCCTCCGTATTATTGCTCCAATCCCCCAGAAGAAATCATTTTGCTTTGGACAAGAAATACCAGGTGCTTGGGGCTGGAGTGATAGTACGGTTGGTAGGGTATTTACCTTGCATGCAGCCAACCCGGTTTCGATTCCCAGCATCTCATTGGTCCCCTGAGCACCTCCAGGAGTAATTCCTGAGTGCAGAGCCAGGAGGAACCCCTGAGCATCGCCGGGTGTGACCCAAAAAGAAATACCACGTGGCATATTTCCCTTCTGGCTGGAACCCTTCCTCTGGGCAGCTGGTTTAGACGGACTTTGATGGGAAGCGCTGACTTTCTCTCCGCCCCGGCTGAGCTGGCCTTCAGGCTGCTGACCCTTGCTGGCGAGTGGGACCCGAGCCATCCTGCTTCCTGGCTTCCTTTGCACCAAAGTTCTGAACTTCCCTGGAACCCCGAAAGCTCCTTGGACCCTTCTGGCTCCAAGGCTCCCTCTCAGAAGGCACCTGGGGACAGAATTGTGCCCGCACCCCGGGAGCCGGGAGTCTGAGTTGAAGAGGGGGCTTGGCGCAAGCCTAGGGTCCGGCCTGCCTCCTCCTCCCAGCCCTCCGCTCCCTGGGGGTCAGCTGGGCGATCAGGCCTGGAGCAAAGTGATGCTGGAGTCAGGCCATCGATTGGCTGCAACTTGATCTGCGGGTCGAGAGGCTCCTGGCGGTCCCTCTCAGAGACCCTCCCATGCGGCTCCCGGCAGATGTTTCAGTTGCGCTTCTGTGTGCAGCATCTTGTGTTCATCATTAAAGTTTCATCTGGCGGTTACGATGCTTGTTTTCTGGGTCAGAACTTGAATCCCTTTTCATTTGAGACAGCGGTGTTTGTGGTTGCCTCATCCCCAATCAATGTTGTGTTTACCCACCCGGCTCTCTCCGAGGGGCTTTTTAAAGAGACAGTGGCCGCTGCGCCCTGTCTGGCTCGGGCTCTGACCTTTCCCTTGCTCGGCTTATTTGACTGCTTCCCTTTCTGATTCTCTCTCTCCCCTGTTGTCTCTGTCTCTCTCTCCCTTCCCCCCCCCACACACACAAACGGAATTTGGAAGTTTACTTTTCTGCGTTTTTGCTTTGCAGTATGTGACGTGGAGTTGATTATAGCAGCAGGGTGGGAAACCGGCTTCGGGGCTCCCTGGGCTTCCATCTCCCAAGGCTTCCGTCGGGGTCTGGAATTGTGCTGCTGACGCCTGGGTGCGTTCTCACTCTGGCTGGCCCCTGAGTGGGCATTTCTCCTCTCTGCCTCCCTCCTCATCTTTTCACATAGAACCAGAGTGCCCCTAGAGTGCCCACACACTCACCCACCCGGTAGGGTGGCCAGGCCCCTGCCGACAGGCCCCCAGGGCTTTGGGGCTCACTGGTCTCTGCCCTCCTCAGACCCTCAGGGAGGGTTTCCACTTTCTCTCTCTTCATCACTATCCCCGGCCGCCTTGGGGTTCGCCCTCACTGCTCTGCTTAGTTACTTCTGAGCATATCTTGTTTTACTTCACTGAAAGGTAATTCAGGTACTGTAACATGTGCCCGCTTCAACTGCTCATGAGTTTCAGCAGGTTCACCAGATGTGGACGCAAACCACTCTCCACCCAGAACATTTCATGCCCCTCAGAGAGCTCCCTCCCTCCCCTCCCTCCCTCCCCTCCCTACCCCTTCTCACTTCCCTCCCCTCTTCCCCCCCTTCCTTTCTATTTGTTTTGGGGGGCACACCTGGTGATGCTCAGGTCTTACTCTGGCTCTGTGCTCAAGGATCACTCCTACTAGGGCTTGGGGGACCAAACCAGGCTTGGCCACAGGCAAAACAAGCCCCCCCCCCCCCACACACACACACACTGTACTGTTGCTCCAGCCTCACACCCAGCCCCATCTTGACGGCCTGCCCCAGGGTGGTCTCCTCCTCTGGCCAGTTGTGCGTACTGCCCACTGCCCACTCCTGCCCAGCGCATCTCTGCAGCTCCCAGGACCACTGATGATGAGGTCCTGATTTTCCCCGGAACATCATTTGATACGGCTATTTCACTTTGAAATAATTTTTATTATTTATTTATTTATATATTTGTTTTTGGGGTCACACCCAGCGATGTACAGGGAATTACTCCTGGCGGTGCTCGGGGGACCCTATGGGATGCTGGGAACCGAACCCGGGTCTGCCACGTGCAAGGCAAACGCCCTCCCCCCCACCCTGTGCTATCACTCTAGCCCCAATTTTAACTTTTTTAAGCATCCACATTATTTTCTTCTGAATTGCTGCGGACTGTTAATTTTGGGGTGTGGGAGCCCGAGTGACACCAACTGCACATGTTTATCATAAAAACTCTCAATTCCAGTCCTGTGTGCAGTGGCAAAGTCCTCCCGTCGTCCTGCCACAGTTGATCGGTTCTGGGCTCGGTTCCCACAGGTGGAGCCCATGGCTTGGGGGGATCAATCTTTTCTGTTCGCCAGATTGAGACTGTGTGACCTCTCCAGAGCATCCCTGCCTGCGTCCGGAGTCATAGCCCAGTTTGTCCGGCCCAGCCCTTCCTCCTGTCCTCCTGACCACCCCCCCCGCCCCCGTCAGAGCTGGGGCCCTTCTGCATCTTCCCACGGGCCCTAGGCACCTGCACTCGCCACAGCAGCTTTGGGCCGCCCAGGGCCTTTCCCGCCACTTTCTCTCTCTCTCTCTCTCTCTCTCTCTCTCTTTCTCTCTCGCCTTATTTGGCTCCATGGAAATGATACAGAGCATTCCAGAAGGTTCCAGCACTCATCTCCTCTTTGCTCTTGAGAGCAATGGTTTTGTGTTGGTGTTGCCCCAGCAGTGCCTGGGCTGCTCCCTGAGCTGCTGGGGAACTGCAGTTTGTTCGGATGTGACTACACATCCCAATTCTCCCTCTGCAGTTCCAGCTTAAGTCTGTCCTTTCTCTGCGGGGTGGAACTTCTGTTGGGAGCCGATCGTCCACCCCGCCCCCCACCCCACCTCAGCCTGGCTCGCGTGCGCATTCTCTCTCTCTCTCTCTCTCTCTCTCTCTCTCTCTCTCTCTCTCTCTCTCTCTCTCTCGGGGCTGGGCCACTACTGCCTGTTCTCAGAGGCCCAGAGGCGTCTTCCCCACGTGCATGCCGTGTCCTGTGGACGGGGTCCCTGCTCGTCAGCGACCAGGAAGCACGGCTGTCCTCTGTTCTGGTTTGTCGTCTTTCCTAGAACTTTCCTAGAAAGTGTTTCCAACGAAGCGTTTCTCCCTGAGGAAACAGGCCCTGTGAGCTGAAGTGAGGGCGGCATCTGTCTGTCTGTCCATCCTGTGCTGCAGACTCAGAACTGTTCTTACTCCCCACTCTGCCCTGGCCGAACCGTGAGTTGGCCTGGTGTAGGGGGGTGGGGGGTGCTCAGGTAAAGCTCAGCCAGAGAAGGTCATTCCTGGGGGCTCCCTGGAGACCCGGGCCCCCTCCACTCACCCCCAGCTTCTCTCAGATGCCCGAGGGGGTGTGTGTGGTGGGGGGGTAGGGAGCTGGGCCATCAACTCCCCTCCTGGCCCCTGGAGACCCGTGACCCTGCGTGGTCTCTGCCGGCCCTATTCTCCAGACGGCCATCGCCCCTCGCAGCCTGCAGAGGTATCAAGCTCCTCAGGGGCTGGAGAGTCAGTGCAGCACTGGCCTTGCATGTGGTTGACCCGGGTTCGATCCCCGGCTTCCCATACGTTCTCCCAAGCACCACCAGGACTAGCTGCTGAGTGTCGAGCTAGGAATGACGCCTGAGCATCCCTGAGTGAGCCCCCAGCCCTCCCCACCCCCCCAAAAAATCAAGCATCTCTTTGGGCAGGGCTTCTCCCCTCCACATCCTCAGTGGCTTTCTCCCTCAGGCGACCTCC